TTTTTCCCCACTGGCAGGGGTAATTTTCCTTCAAGTGACACCACCAACATCGGGACATTTTTCTTAACACTGATGCCGGGTCATTTCTTCCTTCACCACCGTTACCCCCATATTTTTTGTGCCGCTTTTAAACTGTGCAATTCATTGTGGTGTGCCACAATCACTGGCACTATTTCAGCACATGCTACAGCTATTAAACAAGTTTCGGCTTGGCATGCCGAATTGCCCCCAATCAGATTCCAACCTGCCCTCAAAGTCTGAATGTGATGGATGCAGAGAAAGGGGGTGATGTGGAACAGGCTTTAGGAAGTACACCCCTACTGCCTATGTGCTTATTCAGTAGGGAATTAGACAATGCAGATTAAGGTATTGTGGTGTTTACTGGATATAATTAGTACCTATCTGGGTACATTACATATACTGGTGTCGGAGGGTGATCAGCAGGTGAAGCATTTGCCCAATCCTACAAGCCCTAGTAATGGCAATTTCCTACATATTGAGTAGGACTCAACAGTGGCACTGGAGGGGAAAAGACTTACATGTGTCAAAGTACCAGTAGCTAGGTCAGCCATTTTCAACCAGGGCTTGGTGGGATCCTAAGGTTCCTCCAGAAGATTCTAGAGGTTCCTTGAGCTATTGCTGATTGACTTCTCTTCTGATGACTCTTACATAGTTCCAGGCCCAGTGCCCAGCACCACTTGGCAGAATCAGCAGCATGACTAAGGGGCACTCTTCCAACTGACCACCAATGTAAGGGGCATTCTTTCCACTGACCTTCAATGTAAGGGGCACTCTTCCCACTGACTGCCAATGTAAGGGGCACTCTTCCCACTGATGACCAATGTAAAGGGATTTCTTCCCACTCACCACCAATGTAGGGGGTAATCTTCCAACAGACCACCAATGTAAGGGACATCTTCCCACTGACCATTAATGTAAGGGACATACACTATATTGCCAAAATATTGGGACACCTGCCTTTACATGCACATGAACTTTAATGGTATCCCAATCTTAGTCCGTAGGGTTCAGTATTGAGTTGGCCCACCCTTTGCAGCTATAACAGCTTCCAATCTTCTTGGAAGGCTGTCTACAAGGTTTAGGAGTGTGTCTATGGGAATGTTTGACCATTCTTCCAGAAGGTCAGGCATTGATGTCGGACGAGAAGGCCTGGCTCGCAGTCTTCACTCTAATTCATCCCAAAGGTGGTCTATCAGGTTGAGGTCAGGACTGGTGCAGGCCAGTCAAGTTCCTCCACCCCAGACTCGCTCATCCATGTCTTTATGGACCTTGTTTTGTGCACTGGTGTGCAGTCATGTTGGAACAGGAAGGGGCCATCCCCAAACTGTTCCCACAAAGTTGGGAGCATGAAATTGCCCAAAATGTCTTGTTATGCTTACGCCTTAAGAGTTTACTTCACTGGAACTAAGGGGCCAAGCCCAACCCCTGAAAGACCCCTGAAAAACAACCCCACACCATAATTCCCCCTCCGCCAAACTTTACTCTTGGCACAATGTAGTCAGGCAAGTACAGTTCTCCTGGAAACCACCAAACCCGTGTTCTTTGGATTGCCAGACAGAGAAGCGTGATTCATCACTCCAGAGAACATGTCTCCACTGCTCTAGAGTCCAGTTGCAGCGTGATTTACACCGCTGCATCAACCGCTTTGCATTGCACTTGGTGATGTAAGCCTTGGATGCAGCTGCTCGTCCATGGAAGCCCATTCCATGAAGCTTTCTATGCACTGTTGTTGTGCTAATCTGAAGGCCACACAAAGTTTGGAGGACTTTAGCTATTGACTTTGCAGACAGTTGGTGATTTCTGCGCACTGTGAGCTTCAGCATGTGCTGACCCTGCTCTCTATTTTTTTTTTTACGTGGCCTACCACTTCCTGGCTGAGTTGCTGTTATTCCCTGTTGCTTCCACTTTGTTATAATACCACTAACAGTTGAGCGTGGAATATTTAGTAGCCAGGAAATTTTATGGATGGACTTATTGCACAGATGACAAAATATCACGGTACCACGCTTGAATTCACTGAGCTCCTGAGAGCGACCCATTCTTTCACAAATGTTTGTAGAAGCAGTCTGCATGCCTAAGTGCTTGATTTTATACACCTGTGGCCATGGAGGTGATTAGAACATCTGAATCCAATGATTTGGAGGGGTGTCTCAATTCTTTTAGCAATATAGTGTACCTCTGACTGACCACCAATTCAATGGGCATTTTCCCAAATGACTACCAATGTAAGCAACATCTTCTCACTTAACACCAATGTAAGGTGTTATTCTTGCAGATGACTGCCAATGTATTCTTTACACTGACCACCAATGTAAGGGGGCATTCTTTTCCACTGGCCACCAATGTAAGGGGCATCGTTCACACTGACCATCAAGGTAAGGGACATTCTTCTCAATGACCACCAATGTAAGGGGTATAGATTCTACTGACCATGAATGCAAGGGGCATTATTATCTCTAACCAGTAAAGTAAAGGGCATTTTTCAAAATGACCTCCAATGTATAGGGCATAGTTTCCACTGACCACCAATGAAGGGGGCATTCTTCCCACTGACCACCAATGAATGGAGCTCCTGGACACAACAGGGAGCCTCAAATCTCCACTATTCTTCCCTGGTAATTGCAATATGACTGGTGCGTATCTGAATGCATACAAAGTATTCATGTAAACAGGTTTTATGTTTAAATAGTATGATTTATAATGGTGAAATACAAAGCGTAGCAATGCACGCCAAACAATTTAGTTTACTGAAGTCAGCCCTGTGAAGATATTATTGGATTGCTTGGTGCGAGTTACTGCATTTAGCACACTAGTCCTTGCTTTTACTGTGCATGCCTGATTAGGTCTCTATGCATGTCAGATTCACAGAAAGATATCTTTTCATTGGTGGAATCACTACTTACAACATACCATCATCTACTGTGTGTGATCAACATTATTTCAGCATATCAGAAGTGCGTCAGCAACAAATCAGGTCACACATTCTCAAATGTATACAGCTGCCAGCACACGCTAAACAAAATTATTTATAAAATTGTGCCACAGCAAAATCGTATTGTTGCCCATAGCAACCATGCCAACTGTCATATTTACACTCCATGGCTTGATTGGTTGCTATGGGCAACAAGACAGAACAAGACAGTTTGCAATGATCACACTTTTCTTAGCCTGTCCTATTTGGCAAGTAAAGAAAAGAGCAATGTTAACTGATCAGATCTGACTTTACAGAACTCAGATCCATGGAAAACAACCTCTTATAAACTGATCTAGGGTTTTACACATGCAGCTCCTTAACTTATTGAATAAGCTCACCGCTGCACATACAGATCACACTAATTCAACAGCATTCACCATCATGTACAGTAAACCAGTTCCATATAACTTACATACTTAAATATAACTAGGTCTCTGTAAAGTGTACATAGTAACATCATATACTTTATTTACATATGAAAAGATTAATAAATAAATACATGTAAACATGTAGTGTGTACATCATATGTATCTAATATATAATTTAGGTTGACAGACGTCATGCCTATCCCTTATGGTGACCATACACGCTTTGCTTTTATTATCTGGGCGATAAATAAAATTTTTGAACCGGAAACTGACTGAACAGCCAAGACTTACATTTCATTATATTTAGGCTCAGATCACATTGGATCCGATCAAACGGAGTCGATTGGCAAGGGCGAACAGTGATTGATCATTTTGTATCAATTGGAGGTGATGAAATGATTCAGTCATGTATTCAATCAGATTATGAGGTTGCATGGCAGAAACAGATATATGATCGATAACTTACTACTTTTCCAACTATTGATCAAATTCCACTTTCCCATGTGTGGCATATCAATCAATTTGTTATTGATTATTCCTATCAGGAAAAATCGATTGGCAAAGAAATTGATCATTTATTGAAACGTTTATGGGCACCAACATACATGCCCAATATGATAGATAGATAGATAGATAGATAGATAGATAGATAGATAGATAGATAGATAGATAGATAGATAGATAGATAGATCATTTTTTTTAAGATAGAGGACATGAAAACGTTTGTATTTCTGCACAGATGCTATCTTAACTGGATATAATTAGTAGCTACATGGGAACATTGTATACATTGGAGTCAGGGGGTGACCAGTGGGTGAAGCATTCACACAGTCCTGTGAGCCCTAATCATGGCAATTTCCAGCATATTTCGCAGGCTGTCAATGGTGTGACATAGTAAAGGAAAATAATTTCCTTTACTATGTCTACCTATCAATAGCTAGGGCAGCCATTCTCAGCAAGGTTTCCTCCAGAGGTTTCTAGGGGATCTGAACTGCGTGAATGACCTCCCATCTATGCAGTGACTGAGCTAATGGCATGACCCCAAAGAGACATCGTCAAGGGGGGAATCCTTTCTACTGACCATAAACGTAAGGAGCATTCTTCCCACTGACCACCAATGTAAGGAAAATTCTTCTCACTGACTATCAATGTAATTACCATTCTTCCATTGACTACCAATGTAGGAAACATTCTTCCCATTGACTACCAGTGTAAGGAATATTCTTCCCACAGACCACCAATGTAAGGAACATTGTTCCCACTGACTAACAATTTAAGGAATATTCTTTTCAATGACCACCAATGCCAGGAACATTCTTCCTATTGACTACCAATGCAAGGAACATTCTTCCCACTAACCTCCAATGCAAGGAACATTCTTCCCACTAACCTCCAATGCAAGGAACATTCTTTCCATTGACTACCAATGCAAGGAACATTCTTCCCATTGACCTCCAATGCAAGGAAATTCTTCCCACTGACCACCAATGCAAGGAACATTCTTCCCACTGATCATTAATGTAAGGAACATTTTTTGCACTGACCACCAATGCAAGGAACATTCTTCCTATTGACTACCAATGCAAGGAACATTCTTCCTATTGACTACCAATGCAAGGAGCATTCTTCCTACTAACCTCCAATGCGAGGAACATTCTTCCCATTGACCTCCAATGCAAGGAACATTCTTCCCATTGACCTCCAATGCAAGGAACATTCTTCCCACTGACCACCAATGTAAGAAACACTCTTCCCACTGACCTCCAATGTAAGGAACATTCTTCTCAATGTCCACCAATGCAAGGAGCATTCTTCTTATTAACTACCAATGCAAGGAACATTCTTCCCACTGACCTCCAATGCAAGGAACATTCTTCCCACTGACCACCAATGTAAGAAACACTCTTCCCACTGACCTCCAATGTAAGGAACATTTTTCTCAATGTCAACCAATGCAAGGAAAATTCTTCTCATTAACTACCAATGCAAGGAACATTCTTCCCACTGACCTCCAATGCAAGGAACATTCTTCCCACCGACCACCAATGTAAAGAACATTCTTCCCACTGACTATCAATGTAAGGAACATTCTTCCCACTGACTATCAATGTAAGGAACATTCTTCCATTGACTACCAATGTAAGGAACATTCTTCCCATTGACTACCAATGCAAAGAACATTCTTCCCATTGACTACCAATGCAAATAACTTTCTTCTCACTGACCTCCAATGAAAGGAACATTCTTCCCAATGACCACCAATGCAAGGAACATTCTTCCCACTGACTACCAAAGTAAGGAACATTCTTCCCACTAACAGTGTAAGAAAGATTCTTCCCACTGACCACCAAAGTAAGGAACATTCTTCCCAATGTCCATCAATGTAATGATTGGTAGTCATTCTGACAACTGACTACCAATGTAAAAAAAAAAAAAACATTATCCCACTACTAGTGTAATGAACATTCTTCCCAGTGACCATCAATGTAAGGAACATTATTCCTGTTGACCACCAGTGTAAGGAACATCTTTCCTACTTACTACCAGTGTAAGGGACATTCTTCCAATTGAAGATAGATAGATAGATAGATAGATAGATAGATAGATAGATAGATAGATAGATAGATAGATAGATAGATAGAATTTAAGATAACAAGCATAAACACATGCCATCCTATACCAATATCTGATTATCTATTAATTACTCCTGTCGGGACAGATCAATAATATAACTGGATAATTTATTGAAGTGTACAATGATAGGTAGATTAGAAGATAGATAGACACATAGATAGATTAGAAGATCAATAGCTAATTAGATAGGTAAAGGATATATGAGGATCCAGTAGATCCTATCCTGTAGATGACATACAGGGGCATGCAGACACAGCTGATGCTGACACAGTAGGTGGACTGATCACCTGTATGAGGTAGGTGAAGTCATGTGACTCTGGGAGGAGATGACTCACCTATCCTATGGGGGACATCAGTCCCACCTATAGACATATGATGATAGGAAAGCATGAGATCCCCCCATAGACTGATTAATGTATCCCATCCATATATTCCTCATTGCAGGAGCCATGGTGCCTGTGACATACATTATATATATATTACAGACACCTCTATCTATAGATCTATCTGTGTATCTATAGATCTATCATACAACAATCAGTGTCATAGCCCGATCAGTGCCCCCCCAGAATATATTATAGTGGGGGTACCCCGGAGTTCAGTGCCCCCCCCAGGTATAATATCTCCTGGCCGTCTGGCTGGCACCCAGGTGACCTCCTAAGTTAATAAGCAGCATGTCCTACCGTGGTCGGTGTGTGGTTCAGTGGGGTGTCAGGGCCGGGCTGGGGGTCCGGAGTGCCCCGGCATGCTCCATCCTCTGCCCGGTGCCTGTGTTCTGCGCTCTGCCAGCTGACAAGGGGGGCTGCATTGTTCCCAGCGCCGGCTCCATTACACCTACAACAAGCGCGCCATCTAGCGGCAGGCTATGGAACGGCGCCTCCCCAGCGAAAGAGCCCAAAGGGACGAGTTAACCCTTCCCTGCAAATATCACAGCCAATGTCTGCCTTCCCCTTCATGGAACAAATGTCATGGGGTGCCATATGTATTACATGAGGTTCAGGCAAACTGAATGCTCAGTTTGAGGATCTGATCTATTATCTGATCCTCATCTGTTATGTCTGTATATTCATAAAGCGCCAATAGTTTGTGCAGCACAAATTTAAGGGCTTGCGCTCAAGGGTGGCTGGTAGGGGGTGGTAAAAGCAGCCAGTTGTGCTGAAGTTTTCCTACCCTGACCGTCCAGCTAAATACAGCAATGCAGTTGCTCAGGGCTGTACCCATGTTGCAGCCACAATTTATTTATTTCAGGTACTTATATAGCACTGTCAATTTATGCAGTGCTTTACACATATATATATTGAACATTCACATCAGTCCCTAACCCTCAAGGGATTTACAATCTAAGGTCCCTAACTTACATTCACACATCAGGGCCAATTTAGACAGGATCCAATTAACCTACCAGCATGTCTTTGGAGTGTAGGAGGAAACCAGAGCACCCGGAGGAAACCCACGCAAGCACAGGAAGAACATGCAAACTCCATGCAGGAGGCGCTATAGTCGGGAATTGAACCCATGACCCATTTACTGCAAGGCCAACATGCTAACCACTAAGCCACTGTGCCGCCCATGCTTTGCAGTCATGGAAAAAAAATGAAATGCGCTGCATGCGGCAAGCCGCGATCTCGCTGAACGCAACCTATTCAAGTGTTTGCAGTGTGGTGGCGCAGCATTTTAAGGGTTACAGCTTAGGCAGCAACAAATCACCTCAAGGGATGTCAAACGCCCTCTAAAAAGTGTTCCGCACTGGATCACTTTTCAGAGGGGAGGCAGTATAGCTGCAGGTGTGAATGAGCCCTAAGGGAGGAAGTACATTTACAATCCAATCCACTACAGGAGGGTTCAGAAGGTCCTGATCATGGGAGCTTACAAACAAAGGGACCATCTTAAAAGTGGTTGTAAAATTCAGACATGTAATATGAACAAAGCATAACCGTCTTTAGGGTGTACTTGTCTCAATCCAGACCACGAAGTGTCATTTCTGTCTGCCGTCTCATTCCTCTGTATCAGCATGAATTACTTCTGATGAGTTTTCCTGACACCAAGAGAAAAATGGTGACGAGGGAGGGACCTGCAGCAGATTGACACCTTTAGCTTTATTCCTGTGTGCTGCGTGGAGGGGTGTGTCTCTTCCCTCCAATCATCTCTAAGATCTGTCCTCACCAAGCTCTGCAGAGTGCAACTTCAGTTCTCTGCCTCCTTTTTTCTGAACTCTCAGACAAGCTTTATAAATTCAGCACAGATGTAGAGAAGAAAAGACTGGCGATAGATACAAGTTATGTAGGAGGATTTGCTTCATCTCTGTCCATCACCTGAGGATAGTCTCTTCACTAGGTAAATGTTAGGGTTTACAGCCACTTTAAATCAGGGCTCATTCACTGCATTAGAACACCAATCTCTAAGCTCACCCAGAAAACAATTGTTTCCTATATGCACTTAAACAGCCTTTAGGTAAGTTGTGGTCTGCTACATAAATTGCAACATGTCTGCATTTTTCTGTCTGGCACCACATCCCACCCACAGCTCCGTCTTCATTTCCATGCACCGCAGCTCAGCTGCAGGGCATAGAAATGAATGTAAAGTCACACCGTGACATTTTAGTGAAGTTAAAAAAAAAAGTAAAAAATGCTTTAACCCCTTGATGCCGATCGCACGCAAATATGCGGCCTCTCGGTGTCTGGGCCTTGATGCCAAGCGGCCGCATATTTGTGTGCAATTAGAAATTACATATGTGTTGAGAGCACATGCCCTGCGCGTTCCCAGCACATATGTCCGCGACTCCCGGAAAGGTCCCAATCTCCCCTTTCGATCTGGACCTTTTCCGATCATGTGGCCACCGTGATGACGAATCATGGTGGTCACATGACCCTAAAACTCCGCCCCGCCTCCCGGATTCTGAGACTCTTAAAGGCCTGAGAGGTGCCGGCGCCAAGAGGTTAAAAGCGCAAGGCATCGCCAGCCAGAACCAACACTTCCTGCATTGTAAAGCCAGGTTCACACTGGTGCACTGCTGTTTCCACAGTTCTTCGTGCATGTTACCTGTAATTTTTGCCCCGGTCCCATTGACTTCTATTACATTGCTCGTTTTTGCTTCATTTTCTGCAAACGCACCACAGACACAGCATGCAGGACATTTGGCGTGCTTTCAGAAAATGCAGCAAAAACGCATGATCTAATAGAAGTCTGTTAAAACTGAAGGTGAAATGCACAAAATCCGTGGATGCACCCATGCTGCGGCCACACCGCAGCGCACCAGTGTGAACTCAGCCTAAAATACAGAGTTTTACCATGAAGGAAGTGTGGTTCAGCCCTCAACAAACAATAATATTTATTGATTACAGGTATTTGTATAGCGATGACACTTTATATATCGCTTTACATACCGTACAATCACATCAGTCCCTGCCCTCAAGGAGGTTACAATCTAAGGTCCCTTTCTCACTTGCATACATACAAGGGCCAATTCAGACAGGAGCCAATTAACCTTCAGCATGTCTTTGGAGTGTGCAAAAAAAAAACAAGTACCCATGCAATCACTGGAAGATCATGCAAACTCCATGCAGATAATATATGTAGCACTTCTATGGTTACAGATGGAGGCATTGCTTAGTTTAGCAGCTTAGTGTTTCTTCAAAGCTCCATTTATTCCCTAAACCCTGACATTATGTTGATACATAGCACCTTACTGTCCACTACATCTTCCTGTTCCCCCATAAAAAATCCCAAGCAAGCAGAGCAGCCGGGGCCTTGTGGATACAGATAAGAGCGAGGGAGCCTCTGCTGTGGAACATAAGGTGAGGAGGAGAGGTGAAATACATCTCATCCTTTCATCTTCCTGCTGACGCCAACACCGAGCGTATTTGGGGAGCTGCGTGGAGGGGTCCAGGGAGCAGAGATAAATTTAGATAGATCTGTAAAACACAGCGTCTATATATACCCTGTGTGGAGGGAACAGGTTGAATCTCATCAGATTTTTCTTCATCATCCTGTACCTTCCACATTATACGGAAAGAAAAGCGCCATTGATCTGGATTGACGTCAGTTGTTATTGATGGACAGATTAGAATATCGCAGGTTCAGTGGTTCACGCGTACTATTTTCACTTCTAATTACTTAGTGAGTTGTCCATTTGGCATTCAGTGGAAAGTGATTTGTTCTATGGATGTCCTGGAATTGTAGAAAGAACGCACGGGTCACAGCGCAGGGCAGTGCGTGCCGATGTTATCACATTTCTCTGTGATGTGAGCTCTAAAGCTGAACTCCCGGTATGATTTTAATTGCATACTTACAGCTCAGCCCATGCAAGCATGGATCTGGTAATCTCTGTAGTAGTCAGAGCTACTACAGTGATTGCTGCAATCTTCCTGGTCCTGTGCTGAGCTGCTGCCCCACTGCGAACTGACCGCAGGGGGTCACTCGCTCAGCACCGCCGCCATTCACAGAATGCTTTGTATTTTTTTTTTCATTTAATGCAATGTGTTCCTCTGATAGGATAAAGTGAAGAGGAGGGGTGGTGACATCACAATCTTCACCTTGTCCAAGCAGAGAACGTCTTATTCATTGGAAAAATGAAAGGTGTTTACTAAATGGCGAGAGAGCAAGCAAACCTCCTGCACAGGACCTGAAAGATTGTGGTGATCACTGTTGTAGTGCTGACTACTACAGTGATTATCAGCTTCTC